AGTTGATATAGTCCGGGAGTGTGATGGTGACCCCCTACCCATTGTAAAGTCAAACCATTTTAAGACAGTTTGCCAGTGCAGGGATTAGCTCATTGGCTGAGATTGATTATGCTTTTATGCTATTGGCCAATTAACCATCCACGGGGGAACTGATTTAAATAGTTGAGGCTTGGAATGGTGCCCTGCAGAAAGTCAAAACGTTCCAAAATTGTTAGACCAATGAGGGTGGAGGGTGTCACAGCCCTACAGCTCATGGTGATGGTGGAGTATTCCTTTTTTGTCTATCCTGGAACTGTTTTGGCTTTTTGTCAATCATTGTTCTAGGCCAGTGTTGGCGAATCTATGGCACGCGTGCCACAGGTGGCACGCCGAGCCCCCTCTGTGGGCACGCGGCCATAGGTCGCCGTGCGCTCCGCCGGCGCATCCATAAGGCGGCACAAGTGGCCGCCTCAGGGTGCACTGGCCCGGCGGGCGCAAAGCCGGAGTGACCGGCAGGAGGTGAGCGCACAGCGCTCCCTCCTGCCATCTTCCCTGTGTAGCTGGCCGAGCACACCGTACAGGAACTTATGTTTCCTGTACCGGGCGGCCGAAATGAAGTAGTTCACAGAGTTAGCACTTCCTGTCCGGGCCGGGTACAGGAAAACATAAGCCCTGTACTGCGCGCCGGCCACGCCATGAAGGCAGGAGCCAGGGAGGGGACCTGAGTGAGAGATGGGGACTGAGGAGAGCTATGAGGGGGAACTGGAGGGAGAGAGATGGGGGGAACCGAGGGAGAGATATGGGGGGGAGGCAGACTGAGGGAGAGCTTTGGGGAACTGGAGGGAGATGGGGAACTGAGGAGAGAGATGGGGAACTGAGGGAGAGAGATGGGGGGGGGGACTGAGGGAGAGAGATGGAACGGAAACTGAGGGAGAGATGGGGGGAAACTGAGGCGGAGAGTTATGGGGGGGAACTGAGGGAGGTATAGGGGGAGAAAACTGAGTGTGGGACAGGGGGAGAGGGGGGACGACATACACACAGCACCCCTGCCCTACACATATCACCCCACACAAAGACACCCACACATCACCCTACCCACACATCACATCACCCCACCCACACACACACACACAGACACATACAATGTACCCCTCAATGCAGTGTGTGTACACTCAGCAGTCTGTCTGTGTGTGTACACTCAGCAGTCTGTCTGTGTGTGTACACTCAGCAGTCTTTCTGTGTGTGTACACTCAGCAGTCTGTCTGTGTGTGTACACTCAGCAGTCTGTCTGTGTGTGTACACTCAGCAATCTGTCTGTGTGTGTACACTCAGCAATCTGTCTGTGTGTGTACACTCAGCAATCTGTCTGTGTGTGTACACTCAGCAATCTGTCTGTGTGTGTACACTCAGCAATCTGTCTGTGTGTGTACACTCAGCAATCTGTCTGTGTGTGTACACTCAGCAGTCTGTGTGTGTGTGTGTGTACACTCAGCAGTCTGTGTGTGTGTGTACACAGCAGTCTGTGTGTGTGTGTGTACACAGCAGTCTGTGTGTGTGTGTGTACACAGCAGTCTGTGTGTGTGTATTTAGCAGTGTGTGGTGTGTGTGTACTCGGCAGTCTGTGTGTATTTAGCAGTCTGTGTGTGTATTCAGCAGACTGTGTACTCAGCAGTCTGTGTGTGTATTCAGCAGTCTGCTAAATACAGACAGACTGCTAAGTACACAGACAGACTGCTAAGTACACAGACAGACTGCTAAGTACACACACAGAGATGTTAATTAGTTCGGACAACTGTATGAGTTGTTTTTTCGAAACTTAAACCTCAGTATTCAGGTTTAAATGCCGTTTTGGCACTTTGAGGGAAAAAAAATTGGCATGTATTACGGTTTGGGCACTCGGGCTCAAAAAGGTTCGCCATCACTGCCCTAAATGAAATCTTGGATGCCTTTTAGTTATGGATTTTTTCAATGGACCTATATCTAAAAACAGCTTGAAAAACTGCAGATCCCCTGTCTGCTGCCTTTGCAAGCACTCCCCCCGCCCCCCAAATTTTATGTGACTAAAATCACAGGCTTCCCAATGCAGCTCAATGAGAAGTCTTTGCAAGGCAGGTGCTCTGGGCAACTGCTGCCTCTTACATTCAGTGCAAATAAGCCAACCAAACCAAGAACTAAGAGGACCTGTTGTCTGCTTGAAAAGCCAGGGGGGTGTAACCAATATAATTTGTGAGAGCATCAATTTCTATTGAAATATGCACTATTTCCAAAATGAAAAAAAGAGAGGGTCCACTCTTCACACATAAAGGTTTTCAGCAAGCTAAAGTGCTTTAGAGGTCTGGAGTGTCCTTTTAAAATTGCTCCTTTTTCTTTATGAAAATCATTAGAATTTTTTTTTAAATGTAGATTATCTTTTTTCCACGATTTTGAGATTATTCATCCCTCCCATAAAACAACTGAGATGATCTGATTCAGGAATCTTGTGATTTGTGAATTGATATGCATTAAATGCCTTAGATGTGCCTCAGAACATAGTCATGATAATAGAGAGCCCAAATACACACACACACAAATATATTTGTAAAGTAGGTATTTCAACAATACATTTGTATGAGTGAATGTAAATCTGTGTGTGTGCAGTGCCAGAGCGTCCATTAGGCAGCACAGGCGGCCGCCTTAGGGCGCAAGAGCAGGGGGAGCAAAAATCCAAACCCCCTGTCTCTGGCTCTGGCTCCGGCCCTGCCTATGGCTGGCGACTCAATATTTTTCATATTACTTCTCTCTCCCTGCTGCCGGCAGTCAGTGGAGTCAGCCGTCCTCTCCTGATGAGGTCAGGAGGAGAGGGAGTGACTGCCACTGCTCTTCTCCCAGGACCGCTGGGGAGTCTGCGAGAAGAGCAGTGGAAGTCACGCCCCCTCCTCCTGACATCATCAGGAGAGGCCAGCCGACTTACCAGGCTGCTGTATGCTACCGCCAGCTCCTGTTCCACTCCTCCCTGGCCTAACGTAAGGAATGCACTTTTGTTTTTTGTTAAAT